AGAGTTAGTAAATACTTACTGTATGATGTAGTATTGCTGAACCAGACCTATGCTGTCCTTTAAACCTCTGTGGGGTAACTTGTGTACTGGTTTTGGATAAAGCACAGTTCTTTTTCCTTCTGGTAATTACATGGGGCTGTGTAAATATCAGAGAGTCTTAGAATCTTTATCATAATTTTCTTAATTGCATTCCTTCCAAAGATAAGCAAAGACTGCCCTGAAACACGGAACTCTTACCCGAGGACTGGGGGAGAGGGACAGAGGCAGTGAGGGGAGTCAGAATCAGCGATCGTTGCTTTGAAAGGTGTGGGAAGACAGCCCCAACCCTGAATCAGCAGTGAACTGGGGACATTATGGGCTGGGGCAACTCTAAAATTTTTCAAAATGTCTCTGAACTACTGTAAGATTTTAACCCGCTCTAGGCAGCTCTAAACTACTGTATACCTCTTCAAAACTGCTCTAAAAGCCCCTTAATCAGTATTTAAGAGCTGTAAGGACCTCTGTATTCCTTCAATGAGGCAATTGCCTCAAGACCTATGTAATTTACACAACTCTAAGTGGTCTCTAAACCACTCTAAAACTCTTCTGATCACCTCTAAACTGCCACTAAATGGCTCTAAACATCTCTAACAATTGATTGCCACCTTTATAATACCATTAAACTTCCTGTAAACAGCTTTAAAGATCTGAAAAATAACTCCAAATTCCTCCAAAACTCCCCAAAAGTACACTAAGCACTTTAAGGAGCTGTAATATCCCTTTAAAGAGTGCTAGGGTACTCTAAACTGCACTAATATCTTTCTAAACCTCCTCTAAGCAGCTTTCAGATTCATCTGATCTTATCTAAAACTTCTCTATATTGATCTGAAGATCCCTGAATTTCCTTTAGGCCTCTTAAACTCCTCTAAGGACCTGTAAAACTCCTTGAATATGCTCTGAGGTGCTCTAAACCCCTCTGAAATACCACCGGACAGCTACAAAACACCTCTGATGATCTCTTAAAGAGCTATTATTACAATCCCTAAAATACCCCTTTTTAAATAATTTAACTGATTCTAAAACACTCTAGGGAGTCACTAAACCGATCTGAACTTCTTTAAACAGCTCCAAATACCTCTAAAATGCACTACTGCTCTACAATCCATGTAAACAGCTCTGAAACTCTTCTAATCAGCTATAAACAACAGTGAGAAGCTATAAATTCCTCTAAGATCTCCACTCTACCTCTGGAAATCCTCTAAACAACACTAATACCTAAATTCCTCCACACTGCTTTAAGCAGCAGTAAAATGCTTCAAAATCGATATCAAACCCCTCTTGGTCTCTGTGCAACTGCTCTAGTTATAGAACCATAGAACTGTTTAGGTTGAAAAAGACCTTTAAGATCATAGAGTCCAACCGCTAACCTCGCGCTGCCAAGCCCACCACTAAACCCTGTCACTAAGAGCCACATACATCTACATGTCTTTTAAATACCTCCAAGGATAGTGACTCCACCACTTCCCTGGGCAGCCTGTTCCAGTGCTTGACAACCCTTTTGGTGTAGAAGTTTTTCCTAATACCGAATCTAAACCACCCCTGCTGCAACTTGAGGCTGTTTCCTCTTGTCCTATCGCTTGGGAGAAGTGACTGACCCCAACCTTGCTACAACCTCCTTTCAGATGGTTGTAGAGAGTGATAAGGTCTCCCCTCACTCTTCTTTTCTCCAGGCTAAAGAACCCCAGTTCTCTCAGCCACTCCCCATAAGACTTGTGCTCCAGACCCTTCACCAGCTTCGTTGCTCTTCTCTGGACACGCTCCAGCCCCTCAATGTCTTTCTTGTAGTGAGGGGCTCAAAACTGAACCCAGTATATGAGGTGCCAAGTACAGGGGGACGGTCACTTCCCTAGTCCTTCTGGCCACGCTATTTCTGATACAAGCCAGGAGGCTATTGGCCTTCTTGGCCACCATTCTTTGGGCCTGGCCATCCAGCCAGTTTTTTACCCAACAAAGAGTGCAGCTACCTAAGCCAGGAGCAGCCAGTTTCTCCGGGAGAATGCTGTGGGAAATGGTGTCAAAGGCTTTACTAAAGCCTAGGTAGACAACCCCCACAGCCTTTCCCTCACCCACTAAGTGGGTCACCTTGTCATAGGAGATCAGGTTAGTCAAGCAGGACCTGCCTTTCATAAACCCAGACTGCCTGGCCGGGATCACCTGGTTGCCCGGTATGTGCTGTGACAGCACTCAAGATGATCTGCTCCATAACCCTCCCAGCACCAAGCTCTAGTACTCTTTTCTGCAATTCTGAAACTCCTGTTTAGAGAAACAGCACTAAAAGTTCTCTGAAGCCCTCTAAAACTGCTCTGGACAGCACTAAGCAGCTCCACACCACTCTTAAATTGATCTCACTCCTCTAAAACCTCTATAAACAGTGAGCAGCAATAAAGTCCTGTAAAGTGTGCCAGAACTCCTGTAAAGCATTCTAAACAACTGTAAACTCCCTTACCTCTTCTAAACCTCTCGTAAAAACCTCAGAGCACCTCTAAACTGATCTAAAGCTCCTCAGTGTTGCTATAAGCAGCACTATTTTGTCTCTAAATACATCTAAAATGTCTCTAAATCTCTACTGTACAACTCTAAACTCCTCTACACAGCTCTGAAATTCCTCTAGAGAGCTTGAAGCAGCTCTAAACCCCTTCTAGACCAATCTGTAACTCCTACAAACTGTTCTAATCACCTCTAAACCACTTCAAGCTACTGTAAAATTTTTCTCATATGCTGTCAACAGCACGAAGTAGCTCTAAAACTCTCTTAAAATACTCAAAAATCTGCTGAGCTTTCTCTAAATGGCTCTGCAGAACACTGAATTGTCTCTGAACCTCCCAAAATACACTGTTCTCCTGGGCCAGTACTGTTTAACCTCTTCATTAATGACCTGAATGATGGAGCGGAGAGCACCATCAGCAAGTTTGTGGAAGGGACCTTGTCAGGCTGGAGAAACGGACTGACAGGAGCCTCATGAGCTCCCACAAAGGTAAGAAGGGAAGTGCAGTGTCCTGCAGCAGGGAGGAATAAGCCCATGCACCAGTACAGAGTGGGGGCCGCCCAGCTGGAAAGCAGCTTGGCTGAAGAGAACCTGAGGTTCCTGATGGACAAGGGGAGCATGAGCCAGCAGTGTGCCTCTGCCAGTAACCTGCATTAAAAAAAAGAGTTGTCAGCAGGTTGAGAGAGGTCATCCTTCCCCTCTGCTCAGCACTGGTGAGACACATCTGGAGTGTTGGGCTCCCCAGCAAAGGGAAGGTATGGACTTTCTTCAGTGAGTCCAGTGAAGGGCCTTGAAGATGATCATGGGATTGGAGAATCTGCATTACAAGGAGAGGCTGAGAGAGCTGGGACTGTTCAGCTTGGAGAAGGAAAAGTTATCCATAGGAATGAAAGAGCACAGAGAAGAGGGGATTTCTGGAAGAACAAGATGAGCCTCGAAGAAAAGAAAAATACATGTGCTTTGTGAGAACCTGTTAATAAAGCCAAACCCCGGAGAAAGTGATCTCTGCATGTGAACAGCCCACAGTGAACATATTTTGGAGTGGAGGAGGAATACCACAAACCCAGACTCCTGAAATTATTATGTGACTACATGAAAAATGTGCTCCCAGAGCACACAACAACAGGGGATTGTTCTCTCTACTGCAGGCACTGGATGCTCTCAAAACATGTTCTAATGGAAGTTCTGAAAGTACACACAGAAGGCAGATTGTGTTACCGCACCTCTTTTATGGATGGGTGTAGAAAACCCAAATGATTTTCCCCAGGCAGCAAATCAAGCCCACAGGGGAGCTGCAAGCTGCAGGCATTGGGGGTGTATTCCAGAAAGACCTACTGATGTCTTTTTGGTGGTCAGTCCGTATGCACTCTCTATGGCCTTTCGTAGCCTCTTCCAAGTCTGTTAAATATCAGCCACAAATCTGTGCAAGGCACTACCTTGTGGTAAGAGGTGCCGGTGGTCTGCTGGTCAGATCTGCTGGGAGAAGACTGGAATTCCAGACCAGCTGCGGTTCTGGTGGGACGGAGGAGGACTGTGCTGTGCACAGCTGCCTTTCTGCCACGGGGCCGAGACTCTGCCCTGCACGTGGTACACATCTGGTAAAACCACATGTCGGAGGAGAAAACAGCAGCCACATGGGCTGCATGCGGGGAGCCATTTTAGCTCCCAATGAGCCATTGTTTTCTGCTCGCTTGTCATAGCCTGACCTCCATTTGCCTTTTCCACACAGCAGCATGGATCCTCCCCACGCCGCGTGTCCCACAGCCAGGGTGCTGCACTGGTGCTGGGAGTGCTTCCAGCACCGCAGTGCAACCAGAAACTGGCAGATGAGGAAACAGGCAGCCGAAGCCTTTCCTGGTTGAAGTCCTCATGGTGTCCTGCAGCCCCCACAACGTGAGCTGCACCCAGGCCTTGGTGGTGTACATAGCAGGGCCAATATGAAGCAGATCTTCCCCTTCATTTCTCATTTCTGTAAATCTCGTGGCTTTTGGTTTATGGCATGGTTTTTCTGCTCACACATTGTATGTTTGTATGTTACTGGTTTGTGTTTCTCTGATCCCAAATAGTGATGATTTGTAAAAGAATCTGCAACTTAGAGGCACTGACTAGCAGGTCTCCACCACAGCGGACATCCCTCAGAGACAATTATTGTCTGTAGAACTTGCAGCTAGATAACTATGGCAAGGAATAGAAGAGATAAATCTGACCTCTACTTTACAAAGAGATCAATGGTTGGCTTATTTCTTCAATCCCCCAACTTTTAAATTTGATGCTGAGTACAGATGTGAGGTCCTGAGGGTGAAATATGCATGTTTGTCGCTTAAAAGAAATGCAGAGATGTAAGATGAGTTGGAATGATGCTGAATTTTTGGGGTTATGGGATTTTCTTTTGTGATAATGATAATATTTTGATGCTTACCCTTAAATTACTGCTCTGTACTTTTAGGTTTCATCTCCAGTTGCACCTTTGGTTTTGTCTGGGAACAGAGAAAAGATGAAATTTGACTAATTTGTTCAGGAAAAAATAATCTTTTAATCAGAGATGCTCTTTATTGCAGTTCCCAGGCCTCCGCAAGCTTTTGACATGCCCTTTGGTGCTTGTTCCCTTTACGACAAAGCAGTGTGGGTTTGCTTCCTCACTTAACACGACGAGCCTTTTGAAATCCTCCTTGTTCAGTGTCACTGAACTGCAGAAGATGTGTTTTTCCATTGCACCGTGCAGTGCACGTCTCTCTAGCAGACATCTCCGGGAGAGCATTTCGACACCGCTAATCACAGCAGTGCAGCTCCGGAGCGTGTGGAGAGACAACCAGAGGGGAGCTGAGCCCGAGTCGCTTCAGCCAAACACACTTCTAGTTTGCAGCCAGGCTTCCCTCATTATTTTCAGCTATCAACAAGAAGATACCCTCTTTTTTTTTTTTTTTTTTTTTTTTTTTTTTTTTTTTTTTTTTTTTCAACACTGACTCGTGCCTGGGCAGAAATCCCTGCTGAAATTCCGAGCTGTTAATCAAACCCCTCAAGGTTTCCTGCTGTGATGCTCTGCGGCGCTGACTACCACAGGTACCAGTTCCTCCAGTAAAGCCTGCGTCAGAGCCCGGCGTCTCCTCAGAAATGCCGCCAGCTCTCTTCCCTCTACACCCTGTTATGTATTTTTTAAAGTTTATTTGATTTTTAAACGCTTGCAGACAGTGATGAATAACCCAAGCAAGCCTTAGCTCTTCAACGTGACTTGCAGAGCGGGGGTTACGGGAGGCTGCTTTAGCGGCTCACCAGAGGAAGCCACGGGGGAAAGCGGCGGGCGAGGAGGCGCCGGTTCCTGTGGGGAGCTGTCCGGTGATGGCGGCTCCCTCCGGCCTCCCGCCTCCCTCAGATGGCGGCGCGGAAGCGCGGCGCGGGGCCGGGGCGGAGCCGGGCGGGCGGCGGGGCCGCCCCGCAGCCGCGGCGGGGCCGGGCGAGGCGGGCTGAGGTGAGGGGGCTGCGGGGAGGGTTGCGGGGCAGCCTGGCGGGTCCCCGGCCTCTGCCTTTTCTCCGGGGGAGGGTTCTGAGCCCCGGTTCTCGGCAAAACTGGCCTCCCTTCCAGGCTGTCGGGCGTTATGTGCCACACCACAACCGGTATGTGGAAAAGGAACGGTGAAACAGAGGATGTCTCTGAAATGTGACTGGACTCGGTGCTCCCAGTCCCGTCCTGGGATGGTGCTGGCTGCAATAAGCGGCTCTTTCAACAACAACAAAAAGACAAGTCATTCTCTCGAACTAAAAATAACACCCTTGCAAAGTCCGCTTCTTCAGAGCTTTGCCTGCCCGGTTTTGTTGTTAACAGAAATTAGTTCAAGCACCACATAAATAAAGATGGTAGTAATTTTTATCTCTTTCTTTTTCCAGACAGCTCAATGACACCCGGAAAGAAGTTGCAGGGTCTCGTAGCTGCCACGGTCACTCCAATGACTCCCGATGGGTGAGTATGACCCTGTATCACAGCATGGCATAGTGTCAGAGTTGCACTGCTTATCCTCCTGCCTTAAAACCCCATCTTCCTTCTTATCTAGAACTGTTGGTTTGGTTTTGTTTTTAAATCTGGTGGGATGGGGAAACTACTAGATCAGTGCCAGTAGCACTAGAGTGGGTTCCCATACTCTCTGCATCCTCCTGTTGCCCAGCAAGTGCTGTAGGACTGGGTTTGGAGGGTTTGGATCAGTCTCCCATCACTTTTTATATTGCTTTTGTAGGTGCAAATTAAATCATAGTAAGGTTACTTACATAGAGTATTGCAGTATTTTCCCATGTTAAGGCAAATCACAGTCCTACTTCAGAACAGCTCTTGAGAGCTAGGGACTAATTGTCAAAATCTGATGTCCTTTTAGACTTTTCTTTACCCTAGCTAAATGCATTCATGTGTATATATGTCTGCATGGAATTAGTCTAAACCAGATGAAAATATTGCAAGGACTGCACAGTTCTGAAAATAACATTGACTCAAAAGTTGAAATTTGGCCTTCCTCAAAGCAGTGTTGATAAACAGATGTCCTCCCTACTGCATCTTGATGTTGCAAGACAGAGTTGTTTGGAGTCAGCAAAGGACCCTGAGCTTCTCTGATGGGGGATGTGTCAGGATCTGTATGTGTTTCTGAGGGAGACGGTGGAGATTTGGTAGTATAGTCCTCTGAAAGTGATCCTTTACTTTTGAAAAGTGCTGTAAAGCATGGTTCTGGCTCAGTCAGGGAACTCATTTGCATTACAGTCACTGCTGCGTTCCTTGCTTTAAAGGAAAATTATTTCCGATTTCATTTTTTATTACTACTCAAATTCATTGCAACATGGTATTTGGAGAGTGATCTGGGCCCGCTGCCTGGAATGCGTGGCCTTTATAAGATGTGTTCTGTGAAAGCAATTATGAAATTTTAGGTGATGCATGAACCTAGACGAGGACCCAGAATGGACTTCCAGACTGTAGGGTTGGTCTGTATGTTTGACAAATGAAAACAATGGTAAAATATTACACACTGATAAACAAAATAAGTTTGTCCTGCAGAGCAGATAAACCTAGAATTCAATTCCCCTGTTTGTCAGGGAAGTCTGTTGCTGTCCTCATCCTTTAATGAGACAGAGAGAGGTCAAAGTCACATCCAGCAGATGCCATTTCACGGTCTGAGTCCAGCAGTTACCAGTATAGTTTAACTATTTGCCAGCACTTGCACAGATATCTTTGTGCTCTCAAGAGGATTCCTGTTTCCCTCAGTAGTCAAAAAATGTTTGAGTGCCTCTTGTTCTCTCATACCTCCCCATGAAAGTTCTTTGCTGTGATGAGCCTGCAACAATTAACAATTGAGATAAAAGGTTGGAACAGTGAACTACTTGTCAGGAGGAAGAGAAACTGGAAGAAATAATTCAGAACTGAACTGTTGCCTGAAATGTTAAACACATGCTGAGGGTATCATACGTAGGGGTAATTTCTGTGTGTACAAATGCACGGCTTCAAAAAGACATGTCATTTTTTAATTGTTTTCTTAGTCTCTAAGTTTAAGATAACTGTGGGTAGAGATGGCTGCTGAGGCTTGTAAGGTTGCTGCTGTTCCTTTCATTTCAGACAAATTAACCTTTCGGTGATTCATAAATATGTGGATTATCTGGTAAATGAGCAAAATGTGAAGAATGTCTTTGGTAAGTGTTTTTTTGAGAGAAACTTTGTTACATCCCTTTTGCCTGGATGACAATCCTATAATATCTTGCCTGATAAGAGCTGTAGCAGGAGGGACTGTGGATGTGGGATCATCCTAGACATTTATATTCATCAGTGGAGAGAGCGTAAGCAATACTTAAGGCATCTGCTTTTGCCTCCACCCCATGTCTGTGTGGGATAAAATAAGTGTTGCCTTCATACAGTGATGTTCCCAGAGATGAATGGATAATGCTGTGTTGGCAGAGAAGACTCAGCTGAATGAGTCTCCCATTTTCCTGGATGAGATACAATCACCTGGTTAAACAAAACAGCAGCTCAGGAGTCCAGAGAATTCAGTGAGCTCATCAAAACCAAATGGGCTTCTTTAGGAGACCTGTGGTGCGCTGGGTGATACCAGGGTGGTCACTGCTCCCATCTCTCTGTTCTGCCTCCACCTCAGGGACTGCTGCGGGGGCAGCAGGGGTGGCTGGGTGGAGAATACAGCATCTGCTAAACCACTTCTATTCATAGCTTGGCATAGTTAAGTAAGCTGCAGTCAGTGATAAGATTTTGGTTCAAAACTTCCGTCAAAAGAGTGCCAGGATGCAGAGCAGAGCGTGGCAGTGACTTCAGCAATCTCATTTTAATCTGTTTGTGACTGAACATAGCGACACCTCGTTGTTTTCCAGGGGTGCTTTAGCCCAGGTAACACACATGGTTCCGCTCATGACGGAGACACAAAATTTCAGGTCAGGCTGTTTCCTTGGGGTGGAGGACAGACAATCACGCTGCCTGGTTAGTTGGGCATCCCCTTGTGCACTTGTCATAGCCCAACTCACCCCTGGGAGAAGGAGGTAGTGTCTGCTGGAGAGGAGGTGCTGGGGGGACAGTTTCCCAGTTGCAGCAGCTGATTCTGCTTCCTCCCTTGCAAAGCTGCTGATCCTGAAACACCCAGGTTTCCGACACAAGCGTATAATGACGATAACACTGCAATCCCCTTGCAAATGCTGGTGCGGACCATTGCTATCTTAAAATAAGTTGGGGGAAAAATATTTATGTTTAATATCATAAAAAGTGTCAGTTCTTGCCTTCAGTAAAACCAATGCATGTAGGCCGGGCCGCAGCAAGTGTGTTGTGTTGTGTTGAAACAGTGAACGGCACAACAGGAGAAGGACTGTCCCTTAACAGCCAGGAGAGGAAGCAGTTGGCAGAAGAATGGGTGTGCCAAGGAAAAGACAAGTGAGTAGCTGAAAGTGAACAGGGGGTTCCAGCTCTCGTGATGTAGGCATGCCTGATTGCAAAGCCACATCTGCTGATGACTTTTTTTTTTTTTTGTGGAGTATTTTGTTGTTGGGCTTTGTTCCTCAGCTCCTTTATCACAGAAGTCAGTGGTTTTGTTACTGCCAGTTAGCTGGTGTCCATTTCTGCTGCTTAGAGAGCTTGTAAGAGTCCCTCTATTTGGTATGCTGAGAGGCAGAAGGACAAAAAAGGACTCTGGGGATAAAAAGGGCTGTGCCCTTTGCTTATTCCTGGGAAGGAATGAAAGTAAAGGGCAATCTCCCTATTCATGCCCTGTGAGCATTTCTGAAGCTTTTAATATATTAAATGATTTGGTAGGGGGGAAGCTGAGGTGTTTTGGTGCTTCCCTAAAGATACAAAGTCAGTGACAGAAGAAGGAATTCAATCCGGCTCTGCAGCTGTGTACCCAATTGCTGCTCCATTCTCCATCTCTTGTACCCTGTCATAGTCTCGTATCACTCACTGCTGCTACCTTCTTAGTTGCTGTGACTGAGGATGTGGAGAGGAGGAGGTGTTTTGGGTGAGAAGGATAATGAGCAGAAATAAACTGGTGTGAAGGCTCACAGTCTGTGGGAATATAAAGGAGAAACACAGCAAAGGGACTGATGGGCTGGAACCCAGGAGGTTGCCTTGGCAGGAGCAGACAAGCAGTCAAAGGTGCTGCTGTGAGGTTGAACTCTACTGTTCTGCAGAGCAATTGGTTTAGAAAGCACAGATGCTTTGATATTCTTTCCTTTTCCCAGCTTCCTCTTAAATCCTTAATGTTTTAATAAAATACTAAAATTTGTCCCTCCTGACAGCCTTGCAAATACAACAGCCAGGAGTCACACATGTTTCATATTTGCAAATGTATTTTTTTTTTCCGTCACGCCACTGTTGGCATTTTCTCTGTATGTCTGCTCATCAGGTCAACCCAGGTTCAAATCCCTTTAAGGTTTAATCTAGCTCAGTGAAGTTCTTGTTCTGTGGCTCCCTGATCTGAAGCAATTCATTTTAGCAGACTGGTGTTTTTCACCATCATTGAAAACCTCCCCAAACCTCTTGAATGTGTTCTTGTGCAGATTGGATCATGTGATCATTCATGTGGGAGCACTGAGTCTGCCCGAGTCCCAAGAGCTGGTGTGTATACGATACCATTCCTTTTCGCTATGTGTGTAATAAATATAAAGCAGATGTACCTTCAGGTGCTTTCCATTCTCTCTTTTATAGGCAAGACACGCAGCAGCCATAGGTGCTAGTGGTATTGCTGTAATAGCCCCCTTCTTCTTCAAACCCACAAACAAAGGTGAGTAGATGTGATTGCCAGACTTGCTGAGGCCTTTTATATTGCCCTCCAAACCTAAGATAACTTAAAGAATTAGAGATGTCTTCTTTCTTTGGAAAATATTCCAGTGATAATGTTTGCACACCTGTGCCACGCAAAAGCACAACCTTGCAGAAACATTTTTAAAGATGGGAGATATCAGAATTCTCCCAGTAAGAAGTGAGAAGGATGTCTTTTGGGTTGTATTCTGTTAGCCTCTTGAAAAAGAAGAGTTGCTTATGGAAAGAGTAGTTAACTAGTCTGACTTCTGAATAGACAGTATGGAGTTCATGCTTGATCAAAGCTGTTGGTTCCACGCTGACCCTTGCTGGACACCCACCAAGTTGATAAACACAGGCTACACTGATACTCAGTAACCTCTTGTTGCTGAGGTTGGTCCCCTTTGGTTTCGTGCACCTAAGGTTACCTCAGAACTGATAAATTGAGTGTTTTGCTTTTGATATAATGAACATAATATAAAAGAACCACATGAAGTGGAGGTTTGTAATAGAAATGGTAAAAGTTGTCTGAATGAATTATGAATGGAAATCTTCATATGAAAGCACCAAAAGAAACCAGAGTGGATTGCCAGAATGGCTGGTATTGACAGTCAAGGACACAATCAGTGGCAATCAAACTGGTATGCACAGAGGAACAGCACAGAGATCAACGCAAGACCTCGCTGATAGTAGTAGGATGGCAGTGAGGTTTCAGCACGTTGTTTTTTGCCATTCCTCTTCCTGCTATGCCAATGGAAAGATTGCCTAAGATCTATGAAGGATGAAGTGAACAAGATTCTCAGAAGAACGTCAACCTTTATAACTCTTTTGATTCCTAAAACAGTACAAAAAAGTGATCCAAAACCCTGTCGTCCATCATCACCATCGGGCAGTGCCTCAGGGGGGTGAATCTGAACTTGATCCCTTGTCCTCTGCATTGCATGCAAGTGATCCTGGTGAGACCGCTTTGGCACACAGGTCTTGCATGTGTGAGAGCATTCATGAGTTACATCTGTATGAGAATGAGTGTGAGTTACTGAAATCGGTTTGGTTTAAAATAAATATCTTTGCTTTCCTTAAGGTCTTCCACTGAGTTTTGATAGTTAGATTTCATTTTTTATGATGTGCGAAGGTTTTTGTATGACTTGCTGTGTATGGTTTGCAAACTGTAGGTGGCCTCTCCACAGACCCTGGCTGCTGTGAATCTGAGCTGTCTTTCACTACAGATAGTTTCCTTCTCATACGGGGGTACTTGCTTGTTTTCTTCCAGATGAGCTGATTGCTTTCTTACAGAAGGTTGCATCTGAAGCCCCTGCGGTTCCATTTTATTATTATCACATTCCTCCTCTGACGGGTGTGAAGAGTAAGTACTGCTTAGTCAGCTTCCTGAGCTTCCTAGGCTCATAGCAACCTGCGTAATCCCAGTGGCTGGTGCAATTAGTCTACCAGCAAAGTAGTCATCAGTGATTAATCTGCTGTACCAGGTATGTGGCCTCAGCTCTCGTCACATGCCAGATGTAGTGGAAAGGATCCTTTCCAAAAATGGGAGGTGAATACAAGACTGGAAAATAAATTGAATTCCTCTTCATTGGAAAAAAGTCACAGCTTATGAGTACTGAACAAGTGGGACAGAGGAGGCGATGCTGACTGTGGCCTTGCAATTAGTGTGGACCAGGATAGAGAATTGCCTTGGATAACCAGAGTGGAATCCTGATTTTTTGCAAGATAGTGACCACCATCTCTCTTTGTGTACTCTGACTGCGTAGTCCTGCCTGCTAGTAAATTATGTGTGAAACCACCTTCTCAAGCTTTATTATTTAGTAGAGGAATGATGAATAGAATACAGATCTTTGGTTACTTGCTCTAGACAGCAGGTTATGTGGTGCTTCTGTGCGTACGAATTTGTATTTATTCTTAAATGTGTTGTCAGTTCATTCCTAGACTTTCCAGAGTTTTTCCCTTCTGATCTGGTAAAAGGAATGCTTCAAGGAGGGTGGAAAGATGTCTGTTGTATAACTCTGGGAAATAATCACGCTGAAGTTGTCCTACTGGTTGTTTTAGAGCTACGTAGTTTACTAGGCTTAGGCCAGAAAATGCACAACTTGCAAAATAGTAAGTCTCCCTCTTGGGGACAAGATAGGAAAATCTCCCAGAACAGAGGTGTGTTTCTTCATATGAGATTGCTGTTCTGCACAGTTCGTGTTGAAGAGTTGCTGGATGGAATAAAAGAGCTGATCCCCACCTTCCAGGGTGTGAAGTTCAGTGACACAGACCTCTTGGACTTTGCACAGTGTATAAACAAGAATGAGAGAGAACAGTTCGCATTTCTTTACGGGGTGGATGAGGTAAGAGGCTCCTCTTAAAAATTATTTATTCTATGGCATTCTCTTGCTTCAGCCTTGGGGAAAAAAGTAACCCTGGACATTCAGTGCCAGGTAGCTTCGCTGCACCCTCCCACCACCTCTTGTTTTTGTTTATTTTGTTATGTGAAGTAAAAATATTTTTTTTTCTCCCCCTCCCCCCCCCCAAACTAGCATCTATTGAGTGCACTGGCAATAGGGGCAAGTGGAGCAGTTGGAAGGTCAGTATGGCTTGGACTGCTTCCCCTCGACACACACACTGTATTGTTGTATCTTCTACTATCTGCACAGAAATTCTCTATCTTTTGTCACCCCAGTGGAGGATTTTGCAGGGTAGGGCTGTACAGCAGCAAGCAGGCAGGTAAGCTAGCTCCACTGTTAGCCATGGGACAGTCTGTAACCTGGGATCTCAGACAATGTTCATTTGGGTGATTTTTGCTGCAGTCTGTAAACTGACCCAAAGGTTTCAACATATTCCTTTATCCTCCCAGCAACTTTCCTGAAGTAGAGAATCACTGTTGTCTTCATTATATGGGTAAGGAACCAAAACCAGAAAGGTTAGAATCATTAGTTCACATGAGAAGTCTGTGAGGAATTTAATTTTTGATTTGGCTTTTGCCCCTCCTACCAGGCTACTTAGATGAATTACAGTATGATATCTGTTCTTGTGTAGATGATCCATTAAGTGAACAAGCAACTGGAAAATTAAGTGATTGACCTTCCCTGTTGCCTAACTGTGTCCTTCTAATTTTGAAAAGCAGTACCATTTGGAGAGAACTGGGAAGAGAAATCTGCTCTCCAAACTCTTCCGTAGAGCTTGGCATACTTCAGATGCTTGACAGTATAAACCACACATAGATTGCATGAATCTCTGTCATAATAATGACATTCTTAGAATGACAACAGCAAAAGCCTGTGGCTACTTCTTTTGTTTCGGTAGTTCTAAGCTCCTCCTTCACATTTACCAATTCCAGTTTTGGTTTGGTTTTTTTTTGGCAGTACGTATAACTATTTGGGCCGAAAAACCAATCTGATGTTGCAAGCCTTTGCAAAGCCAGACCTTGTGTTAGCACGGAAGTATCAGGTACAGAATCTTCAATGTGCCCACCAGGAGCAGCCTTCTTTCTCCTCTAGCTTTACTAGGGCTGTTTTCCATGTGGTTTTGTCGTCCATACCCTGAGGTAGCTTTATTAAAGCAAACTTCTTTCAGCTCCAACCTTCCTGCTTGTTATTCATCTCTCCTCATCTTTCCAACCAGTCCTTATTAACTTCTAACCAAGATCTGCCTTAGTTACCCTTCAGCTCTCTAATTCATCTATGCAGAGTGAGCAACAGCCTGGCCCTTTTCCATGAACCAAGCCCCTTGACTAGGATATTCTGGGGATGCCTTACATGATGTAGGGCAGAAAGCTGTCCCAAATCAGCTCTGCCTTGACCCTTCTTGGGTCTTAGCGCAGCTTGAAGATTTGTGAGGAGTTCTGAGCAGTCAGTATACAATCTATATGCAATGTTTTTATGGGACACTTGAGGCATGCAGGATGAAAGTCTGAAAGATGTCTGAAAGGTGATCTCTTCTGGGAAGTCTCTTCACGAGGCAGTGGATATTCAGATTTGTAAACCTTTAGAGCCTGATACTGAGACTTACCAGTGTTCTCAGACTGCTTGCAGTGAGGGACAGCTTAAACATGAGTGACAGACTGAGAGGGAGTGATGGTTTTCTTCTATCCATCCCTCCCTCCCCTATTCCAATGGAATTCAATTAGTATTTCCCATAGACTGGCCAGGTGGCCAAAGGCTTTTCTCGAAGCTGTGCAACAATTGTCTAAGATGTAAATATCATAATAGCTCTAGATGCTTTTACATCTTAAAAATTAAAGGAGTTAATAAACCACTGTCTGTCTTTTCTAGTTTCTCACGGGGGAATTTCTTAACTTTGTCATCAAACTAGGTAAGTCCTACACTGCCTGTTTCCCTCATTATATCTAAAAATGCAGGCTTAGCGCTCCAGAAATTGTTGTAGTTGTACCCTCAGAACTTCCTTCTGAAAGATTCTGCAGTGAGAAAATGTTGCGTATGCCGTTTCCTGAGTTAGTAGCAGCTGGGAGCCCAACAAAGGGAGCTGACCAAGCATCCCCGCCAGATTCCACTCACTTCCTTCCTCCTTTCTGTGAAATCTCACAGCTATAAAGCTGTGATTTATCCTTTTTCTTATCCTGACTCTCTGTGGCCTGTTTTTTCTTTCTTTCTTTTTTTTTTTTTTTTTGTTCTGTCTCCAAAAGCTCATTTCTAGCTTTATTTCTACAGAGTCATTTTTCTAAAATGGTGGTGCTCCAGTACGAAAACCACTCTGATGCTTGTTTCTCCTGCCTTGCTATAATTTAAGAGTAACTGTTCAAGCCTCTACAAGGCCAAAAGATGTTACAGTGAATGATATTTAGAGACAAAACCAAGTTTTAATATAAAAATAAATTAAAAACAACCAAATCAGATTAGTGTAGAGAGACTGAATTGGATATTTCATGGTTTTCACTTCATGCAGAGAGCTGTTCACTGTGGTTTTGCTATACATATGCAAGCCCCAATGAATCTAGCTGAGCTTTAGTGCTTGATTGTATTTCTTGGGTTAAAAGTCAGAGGAAATGCATCATTATTTAGCCTTAAAGATGAAGAGGCAAACACTGAATTTTCAGAGGTACATAAGGAGTCTTGAGCTATGGACAGAGGCCCCCTGAAGTTTCCCATGGTGGTTTGAACTGGTACCCAATGTCATTGTCACATGCCAGCAAGACATTACTGCTCTCAGGGCTTGGCTTTATGTGAGTCTGCACCAGGGAATAGCTATGAGGCTGCCCACACCTGGGTCACTGTGATGACAAATTGGCTGGGACAGCTCAGCCTACCAGTGAAGGTAAGTTGGAAGTGGCCTGATTTCCACTTGCTTTAGCTGTGGAGGACTCACACCTTCTGTTGTCAGGGCTGCGTGGCAGTACATTTTGATGAGGAGAAAGGGACACACATACAGCCCTGGTTATCTGTAAAACTGGCACAGTTGTTTGTAAAGTGCATATCTAAGAATATACTCCTGCTCGGTATCTTTAGGAGGGAAGCTAATGGTATAATAAATAAATCTAACAAGTAGGCATAATTTTTACTGTAATGTCTTCCCTGTCTGCAAGCAAAATCATCTCTTCTTAGTTAAATGTTCTCACTCCCGAGAAATGCTTAAAACCTGGTTTATGCCTGATTACACAGGAGCTTTATGCTGCTGCTTTTTTGGGCACCTGTATGGAGACTGCTTTAAGCAAAATGATCTGTAAATGTCCTAATTTTGCTTTTGTCCACCCAGGTTTTGGTGTTGCACAGACTAAAGCTGTCATGACTTTTGTTTCTGGCATTCCCATGGGACCTCCGCGGCTTCCACTCATTGATGCCTCTGAGGAGTTCATCGTCAAGGCCAAAGCCAAGCTGGATAGCATTGTGTGGCCTGATGGCAACTGATGTTCATTTCCATGTTGATCTGGAAGTGGAGGCTCCTTTTCTGGGATTCACTGTCATGTGGCACGTTCCCCACATGATGGGCTGCAATTTCTTTCAGGGAATAGACAATATGCCTGAGCCCCTTCCTCTTAGGGCTGGTTTCTTTGGTGCACAAGTAGCTACCTTTTTGTGTAACTTTACTCTCCTCGCCCGGAACTTTGCACATTCCAGAACTAGCTGGTATCTTTTAATAAAAAAGGCAGATTTTTCCCAGATGGAGGATACTGACTTATCTAGAGAGGAGGAAGGTCTGTCTCCACCAGCTCTCTAGCCAGATCATGTTTTGTCCTCTCCCTTTGTAAGTTATCTCCAGCACTTTTTTAACACTGGCATGACACTGTTTGCTCAGATGGGTATTTTACTGTTTGTTGCAAAGTCATTGGGACACTGAATGTGCATATAAAATCCTGGGTTTGTCTGATCTCATTGTCTTTGTACGCTTTCACTTAATGCAAAATTAATTAAAACAACCTTTTGCAGCAGAAAGCTTTTGGCTCTCTCATGAGCAGATACTTCTTCATTTTTCCTTGGGACAAACATAAAGCCCCAATACATCTCTATATTGCAGTGCAGAATACCGTCTTTACATGTTAGAAAGTCACCTGCTGTCAAACCAGAAGGCCCTCTTTTGCACCCTGGACTTACCCCTCTCTGCCAGCTTGGGCTCTTACTGTCTGACAGTACTTCTGTCTGACAGTACTTCTGTCTGACAAACGTGAGGTCCCAAGCTCGCTACTGCTGAGCTAATACATCCTGACAGCACTCAGGTGCAAAAATGATTGCACTGGATGTTTGGAAAAAGGGGGGAAATGCAGAGGCATACTGTTGACTTTTTGTAACAGAAGAGCATAGAAAATCCTACAAACTTCCTCTCGCTGCATAACCACTGAACAAAGAACACACAGTAATAAAGGCTTCCTTCCCCCTGCCCTTGAATTTGTAAGAAATTTAGGAGAGGTCTTCTTTGAGAGGTAAGGGAGGGGAGAGGGAAGCCAGCCCCAGGTGCTGTGGGTAGTGCCGAGGCCGGCTAGGCCCCGGCTGTGGGACCGGGACAGCCAAGGCCCATGGGGCCCCATGTCCTCCGAAGACACAGGAATTGCTCGCTAGGCCCTCTTAAAAATAAGTATTAGCACTGCCCTGCAAATTGTGAGTTGCTGAGTAGCTCAGTGCAGGGCACAGGTAAATGGTGCGTAGGTAAGGAGTGAATTAACCTGGCGGGGCTCCATCGCTTTGCTCCAACACGGGCTCTGTGAAACCTGGGAGCGCTTCGCGCCGCTGAAGCCTTTCAGCAGCCCCGGGGGAACCGAGGGCAGCCACTCGCACCGCCATCTCCCTCAGCCGCCGCCGCGCATGCGCAGCCGCCACCCTGAGGCCGGCAGCGGGAGGAGCGGGCGGGCCGCGGCCTGGCCGGTGCCCTCGCTTCATCCCCCCACCCCGCTCCCCAACTCCGGCCGCAGCCATGGGGGACGTGAAGAATTACTTGTACGCCTGGTGCGGGAGGAGGAGGGTCACGCCGGCCTACGAGATCCGCGCCGGCGGCGGCCGCAGCCGACAAACCTTCCTCTGCGAGGTGCGGGCCCCGCCGCCTCGCCGGCGCCCCTGAGGAGGAGGGCGGGGGGTGCCCGGGGGCGGTCCGGGCTCTGGGGGGGCTGCCCGAGGGCGGTCCGGGCTCTGGGGGGCTGCCCGAGGGCGGTCCGGGCTCTGGGGGGGCTGCTTGAGGGCGGTCCGGGCTCTGGGGGGGCTGCCCGAGGGCGGTCCGGGCTCTGGGGGGGCTGCTTGAGGGCGGTCCGGGCTCTGGGGGGGCTGCCGGGCTTTGGGCGGGAAGCGCTTGGGGAGGGCAGGTGGCGGGGGCGGGGGGGGGGGGGGGGGGGGCGCTTGGTCATTTTGCAGCCGAAGCGTCCAAGGCATCTGGTGCGCGGTGCAAAACGCGCGTCGCGGCTTTGTGAGGATAAAGCACCCTGGTGCGACGCTCTGGCGATGGGAAGGAGTTGGTTTTACACTGCGTGCATGACCCTTCTTGCTGTTAAAATTGTCGGCGAGGCTACTGCGTGTCACCTCCATGGAGAGCTTTGGTCCTCTGTTGATCTTGAATTGGGACGTATTTAAAAATTCCTGTTGGATCGGCTGCTGGTCTGTGCGCGGCTGTGATATTACTGTGGTCCTGGCTCCAGATATTGTGTATGTGCCCACAGAGAGCTTTGAATACAGGTTGGCTCTGAGGAGGAGCTGAGGCTAAATGCAAGGCCACAGGCAGGATGGGTTAGTTTGTGAGCGATGCCATAAATTTGCACTAAATACCTTGAATTTGTTGTGACAACCTTCCTCCCCCATTCACTTTCCCCACCAATAACAAAACTGAGAAGCACAGTGGTATTAAACCAATTTTAAAGGTATTATATCTGAGATTGAGCATTGCTCAGGTGATGTTGTATGGATGCTTACGTTCTGGTTTTTGTGTGTTGATGTCCCATGGACATCCATAGAAACTTAATAGGTGAAAGGATAGAGCTCACTAAAGTATTCTCTATTGCTAATTTTCAGTCTGGTACAATGGTTGTAAATCCGGTATGGTTACTGTTTGTAGATTGATAGTCTGCTGAAAGTGGAAGCTAGTTGTTTGGAACCCGTTCAGCGAAATACTGGTGGAGTGTGTTACTTGATGAGAAAAAAGGTATTGATGACTGATGCGATTCAGCAGTCTGGCGTTAGTGGTGTACAAAACTCTGGATACCTAGCTGGAATGACATATGCGAAGTCATCTTACTTTTTTTTTAACAACGACTAACTATAGTAAAAAGCTGTTCACATGGCCAGCAGAGTGAAGAGTGGAAATCAGAAATGCATAAGTGGTCTACCTAAGTGAAGCTGAAATGAAATGGAGTTGCTGATGGTAAGTGTAAAAGAAGGACAGTAACTGTCTAAGATGAGAGGCAGCGTTGCAGAAGAGCAGGTGTAAAATATCTGGTTAGTCTGAATTTTGAATAAACTTCCTGTGAAAAAGTTTTGCAGCAGCCAGTTCAGGTAAGCTGGCAGGATGCTGCTCTAAAGCTTGGCTCGAAGTTTATGAAATACATTCAGTCTCGTTAGCTGTAATAACGTGGAGCTACGGTAGAGGACACACAAGCTCACTCCTATCCTTCTTGTCTGAGGGTTCGGTGTTAAGGCTGAGGAACAGTGAGCCTGGGCAGAGTTTGCTGCTGTGTGTTGGCACTATCCCTTCCTATGCCAACTCATTTTCTTCAACAAGGTTTTAGGAAACACTTCTGCTCTCTGAGGATGGATTGTGGGTGTTTTCTTTAATACATCTAAAGTATACATTCAGACTTTACAGAAATATTTCTAGATATGTATAATGTTCATGTAACAACACTTAGTAATAATATTTCTCCTGCACTTATTAGCAACTGTAGTGTGGTGTTTAAGCATTACTGGTTTTCAAGACGCTTTCACTTGTACGTGCCTCAGATCTGTATTTTTATTTGAAGGTTCGAGTGGAAGGCTTTAACTACATTGGCATGGGCAATTCCACCAACAAGAAAGATGCGCAGAGCAATGCTGCTCGAGACTTTATCAATTACTTGATTCGGGTGAATGAAATGAAGAGAGATGAAATTCCTGCTTTTGGAGTAAGCTACTCTTTCTCCTTAACAAAGGCTAATCTTTGATTGCAGTGCTGTGCACCTGGTTGCATTTCATCCCTGCAGTTTAGTCTGGCACCCGTGTGTGGTGAAGGAGAGTGAACGTGCAGGACTTCTGCTTGCAGTGCTGGAAAGCTGGAATACATAAAATGGATGTTGTAGGGTGATCTCTTAAAAACAGCAGCATGTTTGTCTGCAGAACTGTTGATAAGAATTCAGAGTTCCTGTAAGGTGCAGCCTGACTTTAAACGTGCCAAGTATTCACACCTGACAGTGGGAATTGTTTTAAATGTGTGTTATGGTATATAATAATGTGTCCTTTAAAAAAATAAAATAAAAAAATAGACATCTCAAACTAGTCATTGAAAATTTGGCATTTAATAACTGTAAAGGTTTTCTGCTATAGCTCCTCATGTGTGTTGCAGGATCACTGCTTTTATGGATCCTGTTTTATGAACCATGCAAGTATCAGCAATGACTATCACATAAAACTGAGGAGGAGGGTAACTATCTTTACAGCAGTTTTAGAGAACAGTAAATAAAGCATGAAGCTACATATTACACTGTTGGGAGGAAAGAGTCATCTTCTAGTGCCTCATTAAAGGCATAAGGTGCATAGTTTGATCAGTGGAAGGAGTGTCCCTGCGTCATTAGCCAAGGTGAAGCCCTACGGTAACAGAATGCATACTGTTTCTGATGTAGCAGTTAGTTTCATGGCATTGTGTTGTGCTGCATGGCTGGGTTCTAAATAGGGATAGCATGTTCTGTGTCTTTAATAAAGCAGGGGATGGTGTGATCAGTTAGCTAAACATACACATCTCAAAATGGGAAGCATTCAAATTGTAATGATTAACCATAATTTTGTCCTTTCCTAAATATATTAATGTTTTCTTACTGCCTTTTTTTTTCCTACATTCATAAAGTATATTTGAGTTCCCTTGGATATACAATAGGGACCAGCATCTGTTATTTTTCCCTGGGTTCTCAAACAGTTGATATTAATTGCTGAACTTCAGTAAGTCAGGGCTACTTGTTGGTTGCAAATCCTTTTATAGAACATGCACAGAAAGCCAAATATTCAGAAATAGTACTTTTTTTCAGTTTTTAAAAGGGTGTTACTGTTGGGGTTTACTACTGGGGGTAACTATTGCATAACTGATGCATGATCTCTTTAAACTGCCTGAACAGTTTCCTAGCTGAAGAGTAGAAAGACTTACTCTGTATGAATGGACTGATATTTCCCTTCATTCTCTCTCCTAGCCAGCAGCTGGTGATACCCCTGATGCACGTGAAGCAGCTAGAGAGGTTACTGGTTCCAGTTCTACTTTGGGTGGACCCCTTCCTCCACATTTGATTATAGAGTCTGAAATAGGTGAGTCTGTGAAAACTGTCATTTACCTGTATGTGGATGTAACATATGCATGTAGATTGGAGTGTGGCTTTTTTTCTTTCAAATAGCATAATTATACAGACAGAAGGCAGAACTTGCAGTGTTGAGGAAGAGGTCTGAATGACTGCATGAGATCTGAGGGACTGGTCGTGTCCTGTCAAGGTTGCCAGACAATACCGTCTCCATTGCTAAGAACATGTTTGGGGAGAATTATTTTATTGTGTTTTTTTTTTGTTGTTTTTGTTTTGTTTTTCCAGGTGCAGCACCTGGAAACTGTGGCAGTTGTGGAGTTCAGTGGGATCGGGGTGCAAGTTTGAAAGATTATTATTCAAAGAAGGAGGATCAAGAAGTGCAGGAAGTAAGTCATATTATGGAATTCTCCTTTAGTTCTAAAACAGGTATCTTTCACTCCCTTTAGTTTGTTATTAACACTTATAATCAAGCTTACGGTTTTCATT